TGACAGGGAATACAACAGAGGGATGGAACAGTAGAAGGATGGGGTGCAGAACTCAAATTCTAGTAAGAAGACAAGACTTAATGGTCTGACTGAGACTGGAGGTGATCCAGAAAGCATGGCCCCTGGACTCTCTATCCGCCCAGAACTGAAACAATTTCTGAGGCCAACTCTTCAGACAGGGACTGGACTGTGGGACATAAAGTGATACTCGTGAAGAGTATGCCTCTTAGTGAAGTATATACAAGAGACCAAAGGGGCAGCTTCTGTCCAGAAGTGAGATGGGAAGGCAGAGAGAGTTAGGAGGTGGTTGAATGGTCATGGGGAAATCAGGGGTGAAAAGCAGAAGTGTGCTATTGCAGAATGGGGTGGAGCAATTAGGGTCACGTAACAATGTATGTATAAAATTTTGTGTGGGAGACTAACTTGAAATGTAAACTTCATTTAATTACGACAATAAAAAAAGAAAAAAAAAGAAATTAGACTAAAGATCATGTAATTACCATAATGGAGACCAAGTGAATGAAAAATAAATAAATACATGACAGCATTCATATTTTCCTATTACTTTCACCAGATCTGTTACAGCCATGTCAGGTTAATGAGAAGAACATTTCAAATGAAGAGTTTGGGTATTGTTCATGAAGTTTAAAAATGAGAAAAAAGGTCTTTTCCATTTACTTATATATTTACCATTTTTTGGCATTCTTCATTACTTTATGTAGACTCAAATGCCCGTTTAATATCATTTTCTTTCTGCCCAAAGAACTACTTTTAACATTTCTTATACTGCAGGTCTGCTGGCCATGAATCCTCTCAGATTTTGTCTGTCTGAAAGCTTTTCTTTTGACTTCATTACTGACAGTTATTTTTGCTGGGCACAGAACTCTAAGTTGACAGTTACTTTCAAACTTTAAGATTTTCTCTTTGTCATTAGTTTTCAACAAATTTATTACGATGTGCCTTAAGGTGGTTTCCTTTATGTTTCTTATGCTTGGGATTCACTGAGTTTCTTGGATCTGTAGATTTACAATTCTCACCAAATCTGAAAAGTTTTCAGCCATTATTTCTTCAAATGCTTTTCCTGTACCTGCTATTTCTCCTCTCCTTTGGGGACTCCAATCACACCTAAGTAAGACTCTTTGGTATTACCTCTACCAATCATTTTTTTCCCAATCTTTTTTCTATTAATTTTGGATACTTTCTATTGCTATGTCTTCAAGGTCACAGATCTTTTCTTCTGCAGTCTCCAGTTTTCTGGTAATGCCATTCAGTTTCAGGTACTGTATTTTTTATCAATAAACGTTCAATTCAGGTCTTTTTTAATATTTTACATTTCTCTCATCATCATGTTCATGTTTCCTTCTACCTTCTTGAGCTCATGGAATAAATTTAAAATAGCTGTTTTACTGTCCTTGTCTACTATTTCCATCATCTCTGCCATTTCTGAATCTGTTTCTATTGACTGATTTTTCCCCTTGGTTATGGGTTTGTATTTTCCTGCTTCTTTCTATGCATGGTATTTTTGATCAGATAACAGACATTGTCAATTTTACACTCTTGGAAGCTGAATTTAGTCTATTCATTGAAATGGTATCAAAATATGTTCTGGAAGTAGTTGGATCTGTTCCCAAGGTAGAAGTGCCTTTTGTCTAAGGTCTAAATCTAAGGCTTTCCTCTGCCCTATTATGGACTCTACCTGATGCCCCGTATATAAGGTCTTTCCACTCTGGGTTGTGGGAACTGAACTATTTGTGAGTTCCAGAAAATGCTCTGCCTACTAGTTTCCAGCTACAAAAGTTTCCTTTCATGAATGTGTAGATTGATACTGAGCCTCACAGTGAGCGCTATACAGATCTCTGAGCACTGTCTCTGTAGCTCCCTCCACTCTGGCACTGTCCCGAAAATTGTAGTAACCTTGGCCTTTCTGTCTCCTCAACTCTCAGCACAAACACCAAGCTCTGTTTTGCTTCCTCTTTTCTGCTGCCTCTGAACTGTTTCTAGGCACTAAGATGGGGAGGTCTCACCTAAAATCTTTTTTTCTCTCAGTGATTACAGTCCTAAGCTGCCTGTTGTCCAATGTCTAAAAAACATCATTTCATATATTTTGTCCAGTGTTCCAGCTGTTTAAGTCAGGAGGGTAAACTCAGTCCCTGTTATTCCCTCATGGCCAAGATTTGGAACAGATAAATGTAATAAAAATGTGCTGTCTTTCATTTTGTTTATAAGATCAACTGACTGATTTTATGGAATATGCAAAGTCATTATCTGAACCTTAACAAAACTGGTGGAGGGGAATATGAGAAGGTTATCATGCTGTAGATAGCAAAGCCAGCAATATAGTTCTTACATTTGGATGTACATATCTTTTAAGATGAGATTTTTCATGAAGGACAGATGTTATAACCAAGTATTAAAATAAACTGATCCAAGACCCAAACCTGACAATAGCTATATCAGAAGAGACTAATCTGAAATTAAGAAATATTTTAAAGTATAAATTATTTATGTAACATAACTAAACAAAAAATTCTCAAATGTAAAAAAATAAAGGAATACAGGAGCCTTCCACGCTAAGGACAAAATGTGTGAATGATATGAAGGCTCTGCAGGTGCATGACATATTCAGGGAATGGAGTGTGGTTGGTGCATTTAATGAATGAAGAGTGGAAGATGACACCAAAAATGTAACTTAGGAGTCACTTCCTGGAGGGACTTGAAGTTTGTACTTTTGATTTTGATCTGAAAAATGAATCTGGCTATAATGGGAAGTATAGTTAGATAAGAAAATGAAAAAAGAGAAATTAGTTAAAAGCCTACAATAACCCTCAGGCAACTGACAAGGATGGGCTAAACTACAACACTGGTAGCACAAATAAAAGCATTCTAAAACAGTATTCAAGTGCTTCCATGTAAATAACCTAATCTACTAGAAACAACCATTGCAGATCTTTCTGTACAAAGGGAAGGAGGTATATTATCCAAATTAACAAAAACAAAATGAGTAATGTTTTTTAACAAATACATACTGTACCTTGGAATAACTTTCCAAGTTTACAAGACAAATATATGCAGTCACATTGAATAATACATAATAAATCACTTTGATATTTACTAGAAACTTGAAGTTGTCAATGATTTCATTTTACTCAGATCCACAATTGTTTCCTGTGGAAACAACAGTCAAAAAAATCAAATGATGTATTGCATACAGCAAATCTACTGCAAAAGACCTCTTTAAAGCATTAAAAAGCAAAGATGTCACTTTGAGTACTAAGGTGCATGTGACCCAAGCCATGGCATTTTCAATCGCCTCTTCTGCGTGCGAAAGCTGGACAATGAATAAGGAAGACCAAAGAAGAATTGATGCCTTTGAATTATGGTGTTGGCAAAGAATATTGAATATAAAATGGACTGCCAGAAGAACGAACGTATCTGTCTTGGAAGAAGTAAAGCCAGAACGTTCTTTGGAAGCAAGGCTGGTGAGACTTCGTCTCATGTACTTTGGACACATTATCAGGAGAGACTAGTCCTTGGAGAAGGACACGCTTGGTAAAGCAGAGGATCAGCGAAAAAGAGGAAGACCCTTAAGAGGTGGACTGACACAGTGGCTGCAACAATGGGCTCAAGCATAACAACTGTGAGGATGGCACAGAACTGGGTAAAGTTTTGTTCTGTTGTACACAGGGTCACTATGAGACGGAACCGACTCAACAGTACCTAACAACAACACAACAGGAACTTACTCTGTACTTCTTCAAAGAAATTTTTTAAAAATTATTTTAACAGACTAAATAGACAACAGATAAGCAGTAACTTTGGTGAAGGGTAAGACAGTATACACAATACTGTTCTGTACATAATACAGCACAACTTGTCCAAGGCAAGGTCATGGAAGCTCCATAGACACATCCAAACTCCCTGAGGGACCAAATTACGGGGCTGAGGGCTGTGGGGACCATGGTCTCGAGGAACAGCTAGCTTAACTGGCATAGCATAATTTATAAAGAAAATGTTCTACATTCTACTTTGCTGCGTAGTGTCTAGGGTCTTAAAAGCTGGTGACTGGCCATTTAAGACACTCCACTGGTCTCACGTCATCTGGAGCAAGGGAGAATAAAGAAAACCAAAGACACAAGCAGAAGATTAGTCCAAAGGACTAATGGACCACAACTACCACAACCTCCACCAGACTGAGTCCAGCACAATTAATAGTGCCCACCTACCACCACCGACTGCTAACGATCACAATAGAGGGTTCCAGACAGAGCTGGAGAAAAATGTAGAACAAAATTCTAATCCACAAAAAAAGACCAGACTTACTGGTCTGATAGACTGGAGAAACCCTGAGAGTATGGCCTACGGACACGCTTTTAGCTCAGTAATGAAGTCACTCTTGAGGTTCACCCTTCAGCCAAAGATTAGAAAGGCCCATAAAACAAAATGCGACTAAAGGGGAACACCAGCCCAGAGGCAAGGATGAAAAGGCAGAAGGGGAGAGGAAAGCTGGCAATAGGGAACCCAAGGTCGAGAAGGGAGAGTGTTGACATGTCGTGGAGTTGTTAACCAATGTCACAAAACAATATGTGTACTGACTGTTTAATGAGAAACTATTTGTTCTGTAAACCTTCATCTAAAGTACAATAATAAGAAAAACAAATTATTTTAACTGAGGCACTATAAAAATAATAAAAGTATAATTGTTTAATGCTTTCTTTTCTTATACATTATTAAAAATAACTACGATCAAATATAACAACCTTATGATATAATGGTTTAATTTTTTTAATGAATATAAATTGTTATCAGTTTGAGTAAAGGCTTAATTTCCTATTAATCTTGATAAACTACTCTCTCTCAGAAAACTCCAAGCATGGTAAAGTAAATACTGAATACCTGCTAAAAATCAGTGTAACTGACTCAGTGTGAAGAGACATTTTTATTTACAATGACAATAATGAAATAAAGAATTATTTTTCTGAGAGTAGAAGAAGCAGCCTTACCTTTTTCTTCAGGCTTTACAGGAAAATACTTCTTCTCTGCAGCTATCAGGTCAGGCTTTGGAGCTAAGGGGAAAAACAAAGTTTGTTTGTTTGTTTTAAATAACTACTAAAAAGGAAAGTTTAATTTAAAAATTACATCAGGTGACAATACAGTTTAATAGAAAGAACACTGTTACCAGAATCACTGAGTTCAATTTCTATTCTTGGACCAGCCACTAATTACCTATAGCCTTGAGTAAGTAAAAACTCTGATCTCAGTTTCCTTCTTTGTCATAGCCTCTTATTCATATCCTCTACAGCATCGAAGTCCAGTGCAGCTTTCTGTGATGATGGCAATGTTCTAATTCTGTACTGTCCAATATCTGACCACTGAGCACTTGAAATATGGTTTGTGTGACTGGTTAAGAAACCAAATTTTTTATTTTATTTTATTTTCATTAATTTTAAAAGACCCATGTGGCTAGTGGTTACCATATTGAACAGTGCAGCTTTACAGTAAGCCTCCAACACCAAGCCCTATAAAAATTACTTTTAATCTATGCTTCTCTTGCTTGGGATTACATTAGCAAACACAAAGCTGAAACCACGGGGAGTAAAAATCTGGATTAACCTAAAGAATAAAAAAATCTTTTAAGAAATGAAAAAATTGTACTATACTTGTAAAAATTAGAAAATTTGGGGGTAGATCTTATGGAAATAGGGAACCAGATTATAAAACTCTAACTATGAAAGACACTTCTAGGTGTACCATAATTTATTAAACTGTTAAAACAGAACAAAAAAAACCTCTTCTAGTTTATTTAACCCTTTAGCACATTACTCAAGGAAGAGTACATAAATCAGTATTTGTCTGAGACATTAACAAATGGATTTGATCTGAAAAGGCAGAATAACTAATTGGCCAGGTCAATATATTAAGTTTACTAAAACAGGTTTAAATCTGATCGATTTTATTAACTCAAAAGTAAGTATAAAGTATCCTAATTATATTCAAGAATCCTGTTTTACACCATTTGAACTTTAAAAAATTCAGACGTATTTGTTCATGTGAACTCTCAATTTTAAATATTTTGTAAAACTTTTGTATAGCACATCATAATTGTTTTTGCCAATAAAAGTGTTTAAATTAGATCCAATTTCACTATTCCAGTATTTAAAAACATAACAAAGAGCAATCTGAATACTGTGCTTCTTACATACCTGGACCCTTAGCCGGAGGTGGTGGTTTCTTTGGTTTCTGTTAAAATAATAATGGCAAAATAATAATGGTTGAACATTTACATACTAAATATTTTATAGGTAAAATCAATTCTGATCATTAATAATGTAAAGTATATGTGAACAGCTCTCCTCATCCCATCCCATTACAAAATGCTAAGATCTTAACATCACCACAAAAGGTCGCCGACAAAAAAATTATTCCGTTAGAACAAATTCCTCTTTGATCAAAATTCAGTCAAATATTTCAAAAGTTATCATTGGGTTGGATTAACCTAAAAACCTTACTGATTAGCAAGAATGTTCTGTCCTGTCTCCTCTAATTTAAGATTCCTAAGCACCATTTTAAGGAGCCCTGGTTGTGCAGTGGTTAAGTGCTCGGTTGCTAACCAAAAGGTCAGCAGGGCGAACCCACCAGCCACTCCACAAGAGAAAGATGTGCCAGTATGCTTCCATTAAGATTACAGCCTTGGAAGCCCTATGGGGCAGTTCTACTGTCCTATAGGGTCACTATGAGTTGGAATCGACTCGGTGACACAGGGTTGAGTGTGGTTTTGTTAAGCATCATTTTACCTCTATTTCACAATTAAGGGTTAGTGGGGAGGAGGTAGAGGAGGATGAGAAAAAGGGAGAGAAAGAGAGACTTTGTTTAAAAAAAATAAATAGATGAAAGTACAGTAGCTAATTAATAGACCTAGTTTTCACTATTAATTCTTCAGAACTCTTTAAGAGAAAGTTAAAGCCAAAGGTCTATTTTTCTCTATGTATTCAAATCGTCTTGAGTTTATAAGCATTTACTCATTTTTAAGGGTTAATTTAATGCCTAAAAAATTTAACTACAGCCCATTTCTTAGTATGTGAATTTGACTTTTATGAATTAAGAATAACTGATAAGCAATAATGTAAAAACACCCAAATAAGCAGGAAAAACGTATTCATTAAGAAAGTATAAAAAGCTTACTGAAGGCTGAATCAATACTGAATGCAATCTAGCAAAGGAAGAGCCCCAAGACAGCCTCAGTCTCCACAGTGTGCTTCCAGTAACTAAATGAAAACTGCAAAGGTTACAGTCTTGCACTGGCTTAAACCAAATATGGTAGTCTCTCTTGCTATATGTGTCTGCTATCTCTCTATCTCTTTCTCTCTATGTAAAAACTTAATTGGATCCCCCTAACAGAGAAAAGGGAGGATCAAGTTGTAGAAAGGCAAAACATCACTGATGAATGACTCAACATTACTTTTTTGTCTTTGAGAAATGAGATAGAAATATTAAACTTATAAGGAGGAAACACTCTGCTTCTTGCCTTACCAAGAATATGCTGATCCAATAATAGTAATATCAATAGAACTTTAAACTAAAGCTTTTCAACAAGATTAAATAAAAATATAATTTCTCCCAGGCAAGCACTAATTTTATCCAACTACCATGGTCAGGTTTTTTTCTTTTTTTTAAATTATCAAGTAATGTTGTCTGAGGTTAATTTTCAATATGTTGCTGTTGTTGTTGTTAGGTCCATCGAGTCATAGAAACTCATAGCGGCCACATGTGGCAGAGCAGAACTGCCCCATAGGGTTTTGTTGGCTATAATCTTTACAGAACAGATCACCAGGTCTCAGAGAAGAAAAGCAGAAATAAAGCACAGAACTGAAACCTTGTTTTGTTTTACTATAATTCAAATAATTTTTACCTGAATATATAAATCTAGAACCCTCTCATAAAAATTATTCAGTAACAATGCAAAAAAAATCTCTTTTTGAAAAAAAACATTGCTAAAAGGTTCTTTAAAGTATGGTCATCATTAACAAAAGCTTACTGGAAAGTCCTTATCTTGTTCGTTTATCTGAACAGCAAAATTGTCTGGAAATACTCCTTCTTTACCATTAAGTTCACCCTTCCACCAGCCAGCATCTCCAGTCTCCTAAAAAACAAAATAAAGAATAATTATGACAACAGGAATTAACTTTAAATGGAGGATAGGTTTACAACAAAATACCAGAATAATTAAATTCCAGTATTTTTACAAAAAAAAAAAAAAACAAAAAAAAACACACTAAATAGATCATGAAGTCCTCCTAAAAGAAAATGTTCTCCCACGTATTACTTCTAGCAATAGTTACAAAATGTAATTTAATTTTTTTTAAGTAAGTCAAATAATTTTAAATTTTAGTCTATAAGGTTTAAAGGTTCTCAAGAATGGGGAAGAGGGGAGGAGAGAAGAAGGAAGAAGAGGGGAGCAGGGCAGTAGAGTGGAGGAAGGAAAAGGGAGAGAAGGCAGGTAGGGAAGGCAGAAGGAGGAAGGGAAAGGAGGGAGGGAGGGATTTCTAAATTGCATCTTCTCTAACACTCTTAACATTTTATACTCTAAAAAAATTAATCATATTATTCGGTTGCTTTAGAAATTAACAAGATCATCTACAGTTCCTTTCCAGTACCTACTCTTGCACGAAAAATTAGGTGTCATCAGTCCAAATTGTATGACTGTTTAAAATTACATACCTAAATTATCTGATAACAGGAAAACTTCCAAAAATTATTCTTCAAGATTACAACAAAAACAAAAAATATGTAATTTTCCTATATTACAAACAGTTATTAAGAGGTTCTGCCCTGCCTCCGCCCCCACCTCCACTCAATACTATTGGGCTTTCTCTTTATTTTGCCTTAGAAGTCATTCTAGGTAAGTAAGAATCTACCTCAATCTTTGCAACAGCTACATTATTTTCCATAGTATGAAGAATTTCATAACCATTTACATATTGACCAACATTTAGATTGCTTCCCTATTTTTCCTCTTTTTCTTTTAATATTACAAACAATGCTCCAAACAATAGATGGAAAAAAACAGAATAGGATGTAATGGGAAGTGAGAACAGAAACCTGGAGATGGGGATTAGAATAGATAAATAGAATCAGATGGTAAAAAGAACTCCCAATAAATCAATGAGAACAAAGACAGAATAAAACTTTGCTCAAAAAAGTCATTTTGTGAGCACTTACTAGGTGCTAGGCTCTCAGGACACAAACACAAACAAGACAAAGTCCCAGCTCTCTAGAACTTACATTCCAGGGGGAATATAAGAATTTTAAAAAATACTTCTATGAATAAAATTAAACAAAACATTAAAAAACTGAATCGTTTTCATCTTACCTTACTTATCAAATGGATTATCTCCCCCTCTTTAAAACTAAGTTCATCTTCATTAGTACCTTCATAGCCAAATAATGTTCTGCAATATTCCTTAGCTGAAATAAAGAACACAAATAATGTAGCTTATACAAACTGATTCATTCATCAAATACTTATTAAGCCTCTTTTGTGTAAAACAATGTGCACTAGACACTATTAAAGATGAATTTAATAATTCACCTTTAAGTTTTAAAATTTTGGCCAATACTATATATTAAATTAAATAACAATTTAATTAATCATTCACTCAAATATTTATTGTCTACTGTGTTCCAGGCACAGTTCTAACTGCAGGGGGATTTATCAGTGAACAAGGCATACCAAAATCCTTGACTTCATGGTGCTTACATCTAGTAGTATTTAATTACTCTGATCAAGTAGTACAGTGTAACAAATGCCTTCAATAAGTCTAATAATAAATTTGAGCATGCTTCTAGTATTCCCAATGTGAAAATTCTATTCAAAAACTTACCTTTAATTTTACCTTCAGTGTCTGTTTTTGTTACCTCCAGACTCTGAGTTTTGGATCCTACTGACTGTATGAGTAAGGGCTAGAATTGAAAAAGATGGTATCAACTATTTTAAGTTAAAATAAAGATAGTATTGTTAAACAAACTTTCCATTTATAGTTATTTAGCTTTCCCTGAGATAGTCAGGTAATATGACTAAAAACTCAGCAATGAAAAAGATCTCAAAATCTCCTTAAATAACAGGTCAGAACTACTAATTTTTAAAACTCCCTATGTTAAGATTACCTGCTCTCATGCTCATAATACAGCAATGTCATTTATTTTTAGAAACTCTAAAATAAATAACAATAATAGCTTTTGAGAATTTATTATGTACCAATCCCTGGCCTAAGAACTTCAGATGCATTATAACTTAATCCTCACAACAATCTGCATAGAACAGGCACTATTGTTCACCCTTTTATAGATGACAAAAATTAATCTGCCCACAATAACAGTAATTTCAAAGTGGAGCCCAGATTTGAACCTAGAAAGACTGACTCCAGAAAGCGTACTCTTAAACAACAACACTAAAGTTCCTCCAGGTGTAACAGAGATTTAGAGAAGAAAGAAAAGTCTGCATACATCATTGTTGCAATCTGAATGAAAACATTTAGACAATGTTACAATCTTAAAACTATAACCCTGTAGACATTTTTCCATTGTAACTGACTACAGTTAAGTCCTTCACCATCTTATACCTGTGTTTCCTTAAGTTCTCTCCCCGGAAATAACATTACATTTGACCTCAGATTTCATTAAAAATCAGAACACAATACCACTAACCTACCCATCACTGTGTTTTCCAACATACTCACTTTAATTTCTCCCAAAATTCTAACTACCATATTCTCCAACCTGATGTCACCCTCAAACATAACAAATGTTCTCCCTACTTTATAATTCCTAGATCAGTGATCAAAGCAAGTCTCAAAAGGCCATCATATATGGTGACTTCTGAAACTACTCCAGGAAGTGGACATTATTAATGGTGACTGAAAGATTACTAACATAATCATTAATCAAATAAAGTTATTCAATATAATTCTAAATTTTAGAGTTGGAAGGGGCCCCAGATCATCAAGTCTAATGTTCTTCCTAATGAAGGAATTGCTTCTCCAACATTCTTACCAGTTAAATGACTGTACAGCATAATTGCAAAACCCATGAGAATTCTAATCTTTACCTGAATCCTTTAAAACTAAGAATTAATTAGGTCCCAAAATCTTAAGGCTAGCACTATCAGAGCTAGGAGAGGTTGGGATAGAAAGTAGTTCTCTTTCCTGAACTTTACTGATTATTACATGAGGAAATATGCAGTAAGCCGAAAACATATTAAATGCTGAAAACAATGACCTTAGGAGAAAACTTCAGAATATATTTCACCAACCAAAACACAGTCTTATAAATACTACGTAACTAAACTAAGTACGTACATAAATGCTGAAATATTTAAAACCCTTAAGAGTTAAACAAAAAGACACAAATGAGGACTACAGGTTAAACAGCTACCTAGAAGTCTAGGGAAAAGTCTCCTATCTGAATCTCCAAGGTACTGACATACTACAAACAGCTTTGAAATAAATATTCTAAAGATTACAGCTATTTTGACCCCAAAATTAAAACTTAAGGGTTTATTTTAAAGCCCCTTATTAGATCTTAAATTTATAGTACATTCACTTTCATTTATTTCACAATGCAAGTGAAATGCTAATAAAAAATAAGTCTCTATACATTCAGAGAGGGAGATTAGTAAATTTAACCATTATTGACAATCCAGAAGAAAGTTAAGTAATGGCTGCTTAACTTCTCATTGTGAAATCATTTTTTAAAGGTCCATTTTAGGTCTTCTTCAAATTAAAGGAAAAAAAAAATATATATATATATATGTACACACACACAATATATATAATTTTAACTTAAAAAGGCAAAAAAAAAATTCCCTTTTCTATTTACATTTACAATGTGATACTAAAAAGTCTAAAGTTTCCATTAAGAAAAGTTTATGTTAAAGTTCCAGAAAACAAGCATTCTAATTTTGTAAGATTCAAACATAAACATTATATTACAATAAATTTGAGGAGAAAATCATTTCACGCAGCATTCTCTTTTATAAATAAATTATTAACCACCTCAAAAGAAAAAAAAGTAATAGAGTTGTAAACTGATTTTTACATTTTAAACAATGCTTAATAAAGGAATGAAATGAGGTAATCTAAGTAAAATTCATCTTTACTACCTTTTCTACTTTTTTCTCTTCTATTTCATTACTGGATGTTCTTGTCCTAAGTTTCACAGAGCCTTCTTTAAAAATATCTCCAAATCCAATTCCTCGAATTTTCTTTGGCTGTGCAATTGGTCCAGGCACAGTTTCGCTCCCACTCCCCGGAGAGGGTAAGGGTGAGGTAGGCCCAGTCAAAACAGTTTCTGAAAGAATAATTTCTTTTTAAGAATGACACCTAGAATCACACAAAAATCTTGACACGCCTTTCCATAAGATCTATATTCTATACCTCCTAGTCAGAAACTGCAGAATAAAAATGACTACAACACTGAGTACTGAAATACCTAAGAGTAAGATTCATTTTATATTGATTTTTTGTTGTTGTTGTTTAAAACAATAAAGATTTTAAGTATTAACAATAAATTACAAACTAAGCAATCCAGGAAATCGTATCACACAAGGTCCTTAACAAGAGCACATCAAAATTTTCAACTCTTAGACAAAGACAGTATAATGTAAGACTGAAACATTAAAGAAAGAAAGTATAATCATTTTAAAAAGTGGTAAGATTCATACCAGTACTGACTGTTCTGATCAGGGACAGAATAGATGGATCATGACAGAATAGTAGAAAAATGTGCAACAGAACTGAAATTCTTAAAAAGTCCAGACATGCTGGACCTGTTGAGACTAAGGACTCCCCGAGATATCGCCCTGAGGTACTCTTTAAACCTTAAACCAAAATTTATCCCTTAAGGTCACCTTTTAGCTAAATAACAGACTGGCCCCATAAAACAAAGAATATCACCCAGGAATAATGAGCTCCTTTAAAAAAAAATCACCTATAGAGACCAAAAGGTCAAAAATTACTTTAAAGCTAAGATGAGGGGGAGGGAAAGTAGAGTACTAATAACGGTACAACTAGAACAGAAACAATGAGAATGACGGCACATTGTAAAAAAGGTAACCAATATCATTTAATACATTTCTAGAAATTGTTAAATGGGAACCTAATTGGCTGTGTAACTTTCACCTTAAACACAATAAAATATTATTTTAAAAAAAAGTAGTATGATTCAAATCTGATCAAATTTGGGGTGAGTTACTAAATATAAAATCTGGGAATAGTAACAAATTTTCATTGAAAAAATTAACAGTTCAAGACAAGACCTTTCATTTTAACCAAGAGATGAAGTAACTTAAATCTAATTTTAAAGCAGCCATCAGAAATTTTTAAACACAACAATAAATATTTTTTTAAGAAAATTTAACATTATCAGTAAGGAAGTTGTTTTTACATGCTTGCTAAACAGCAGGATTCTTATTTATAGGTTTCAGTGAGTCCATGAATACCCCTATGGAAAACTATGGGTTATCTTATCAATACATTTTTATGAGAAAAGAGCCACAGCTTTTATCAGATTCTCGAAAGGCCTTAAAATCTAAGAAAGTTAAACAACAAAGTTCCAGAGTAAATCACCTAAAAAATCCCAGTAAAATTTCAAATTGAAGGTAAGGGTAGGTGAAGACGTAGTATCAGTACACTGAACTAGAGGAGTCTGTTGAAGTATAACAACAGGGGTAATAATAAAAAGAGTAGTTACCATTTATTCAGGGTTTATTCTGTGGCAGACACTTTGCTAAGCACTGTATATGGATTCCCTCATTCCATAACTTCCATGGGCTTAACATTAAGAATTATTACTCCTCATTTTAAAGATGAGTAAACTCATCTGATATTAAGAGAAATTAAGAACCTCTGGTGGCAAGTAACAAAGCAGTGTTGAGTTCTAAATGATCCCAAAACCATATTCTTAAGCGTTTTCATGTCTCAAAACCACAAAATCTCCTATCACAGATCTGTGAATATTTCAGAAGTGAATTACAGAAACAATTTGAATGAAATAATAATGCTAACAAGTATACTGATCTAACATAGCCACTTTCAATATTAGTTTAAGTTAATATGGAGGGGAGAAGATAAATATTTTTGTAACATATTTTTAAAGAAACTTTACTAAAGGAATGTTTATATACAATGAAATGAACCCATTTTAAACAAACATTTCATTAATTTTTTACAAACTTATGTACCATGTAACACAACAATCAAGGTTTAAAACATTTCTGTCACCCCCCAAAAAATGCTTGTAAGCAATCCTAGTCAATCCTCCCTATCCCTAACTTCAAGAAACTTCTGATCTTCATTCTGTCACTATAGGTCTGTCCTTTTTAGAGTTTCAAATAAATTGAATTATACCCTACATAAGTCTTTTCTATCTGCTTCTTTTTCCAAGCAGACAATACATGAAATTCATTCATGCTGCTCCATGTATTTGTATTTCATTCCTTTTACTGCTGATTAGTATTCCACTGTACAGATATATCACTATTTACATAGCTGTAGGTTTTATGTAGATGAGCTTTATCAATTTATCCTAAGTACTTAACATGTCAAATATAACATGTCAAATTCTCTTTCTGTATCTATTGAGATGACCATATGGTTTTTCTCCTTTAAACTGTTAATATGGTAGATTATATTAATTTTTTTAGATCAACCTTGCACGCCTGGGGTAAAGTCCATTAGACATTATGCATTAACCATTACATATTTTGCTGGATTGGATTTGCTAATATCTTGTTAAGGAGTTTTGTGTCTATGTTCATTGTTCATGAGATATAACGGTCTGTAATTATTTTTCTTATAATGACATTATAAAAAGGCCTAAAAACTTTAAAGGAATTTGTGTAAGATAACATGCTTGATACTCAACAGTGAAAATATCTCGTAGAAAATTTTCTTTGTGTGAAGATTTTTGATAACAAACTCAATTTCTCTGATACAGATTTTTAGAGTTTCTATCTCTTCAGTGTCAATTTTAGTTAAGTTGTACTTTTCAAGGAAATCTGTACATCTCATCTATGTTGTCAAATTTACTGACATATTTTCTTATCAACCTTTTAATGTCTGGAGGTTCTTTAATGATATTCCTTCATAGATTTCTGATAATTTGTGTTTCTTTTTTCTTTGATCAATCTTGTTAGGGTTTCATCAATTTTTTTTTTTAATTGTGCTTTAAGTGAAAGTTTACAATTCAAGTTAGTTTCTCATACAAAAATTTATACACACATTGTTATATGACCCTAATTGCTCTCCGTATAATGTGACAGCACTCTCCTCCTTTCCATCCCGGATTTCTGGTGTCCAGTCAACCAGCCCCTGACCCTCTCTGCATTCTCATCTCGCCTCCAGACAGGAACTACCCATTTAGTCTCATGTGTCTACTTGAGCGAAGAAGCACACTCTTCACGAGAATCATTTTATGTCCCATAGTCCAGTCTAATCTTTGTCTGAAGAGTTGGCCTCAGGAACAGTTTTAGTTTTAGGCTAGCAGAGTCCCGGGCCATGATTTCTGGGGTCCCTCCAGTCTCAGTCAGACCATTAAGTCTGGTCTTTTTTTACTAGAATCTGGGTTCTGCACACAACTTTTCTCCTGCTCCTCCGTCAGGGACTCTCTGTTGTGTTCCCTGTCAGGGTGGTCATTGGTGGTAGCCAGGCACCATCTAGTTCTTCTGGTCTCAGGCTGATGCAGTCTCTGGTTTATGTGGCCCTTTCTGTCTCTTGGGCTAATATTTTCCTTGTGTCTTTGGTGTTCTTCATTCTCCTTTGCTCCAGGTGCATTGGGACCAACTGATGTATCTTAGATGGCCACTTGCTAGCTTTGAAGACCCCAGACGCCACTCACCAAAGTGCGATGCATTTTCTTAATAAACTTTGTTATGTCACTTGACCTAGATGTCTGCTGAAATCATGGTCCCCAGAACCCTGCCCCTACTACTCTGTCCCTTAAAGTGTGGTTGTATTCAGGACACTGCTTAGCTTTGGTTTAGTCCAGTTCTGTTGACTTCTCCCATAGTGTATGTTGTCCTTCCCTTCACCTAATTCTTGTCTACTATCTAGTTAGTGAATAGTCCTCTCCCTCCCACCCCACCCTCGTAACCATCAAAGAAATGTTTTCTTTTGTGTTTAAACCTTTTCTTGAGTTCTTATAATAGTGTTCTTATACAACATTTGTCCTTTTGAGACAGACCAATTTCACTCAAGCATAATGCCTTCCAGATTCATCCATGTAATGAGATGTTTCACGGATTCATAATTATTCTTTATTGTTGCATAGTATTCCATTGTGTGAATATACCATAATTTGTTTATCCATTCATCTGTTGATGGGCAGCTTGGTTGTTTCCATCTTTTTGCTATTGTAAACAGTGCTGCAATGAACGTGGGTATGCATATACCTATTTGTGTGACAGCTCTTATTTCTCTAGGATATATTCCAAGGAGTGGGATGGCTGGATCATATGGTACTTCTATTTCTAGCTTTTTAAGGAAGCATCAAATCAATTTCCAAAGTGGTTGCACCATTTTACATTCCCACCATCTGTGTATAAGTGTTCCAGTCTCTCCACAATCTCTCCAACATATCTTATTTTGTGTTTTTTGATTAATGCTAGTCTTGTTGGGGTGAGATGGTATCTCATTATAGTTTTAATTTCCATTTCTCTAATGCCTAATGATCGTGAGCATTTCCTCATGCACCTGTTAGCCACCTGAATGTCTTCTTTGGTGAAGTGCCTGTTCATATCCTTTGCCCATTTTTTAATTGGATTACTTGTCTTTTTGTTGTTGAGGTTTTGCAGTATATTGTAGATTTTACATATTAGACAATGATGGGGTTTGTCATAGCCAAAATTTTTTTCCCAGTCTGTAGGTTGTCTTTTGATTCTTTTGGTAAAGTCTTTTGATGAGCAGAAGTGTTCGATTTTTAGGAGCTCCCAGTTATCTAGTCTATCTTCTGATCCTTTTGCATTGTTACTTATGGTTTAGGTTTTATTGCTTTTTTTATCTTTTCCAAAAAAATTCAACTGTTGAACTTATTTTCTCAATTAAAAGTTGTATTTATTTATTTATATTTCATAACTTTCTGTTCTAATTATTTCCTTTCTTCTACTTATTTCAGGTTTAATTTGCTCTTCTTTTCCCAGTTTAAGGCGAAAGCTTAGATTACTGATTTTTGTTTTTTCTTCTTTTATATTTCTGTTTCTAAAATAATTTCACTGTGATTACAAAACCTGTAAGATTTCAATCCTTTCAAATTGTTGAGACTTGTTTGATGCCCCAGCATAGGGTCTATCTGGT